GGAGACGCACCTCTTCTCCACTCCCTGGCCCTGGGAGGGAGGCTCTGAGGGGTCACACCAGCTATCCCTGACCCCTGGGCCACTCTGCTCCACAGAAAGGTAGAGTGCTTGGCCCCAGGCCAGAGGGCCCTGTGGTGTGGGGAAAGGCGGTTCCCTGTGCTGTCTGGGCCCCAGGGGCCCCAGGGAGAGGGTTGGCTTCTCAGGACAGGCCTTTTGTGGAAGCTGGGACTTTGGGGCCAATCCCCAGGATGCGGCCAAGCCCTCTGCTCCAAGGGAGAGGCTGGGTGTCCCTGTCTTAACTGTGGGTGTGGTGGGGCTAGGGGCACCCTATCCTCTGCACATCTCTGCTGCAGGCTCCTGTCCCCTCCCCAGCTGTGAGGTACTCAGAGCTGCAGTGCGAAGCTGATTCTGGACGGTTCGACCACTTTGGGTCTCCATTCCCCAGACTGCACCCAGTGAGGGCAAGCCCTCTCCATCTTGTTCATTCTGTATGGTCCCTGCCACCAGAAAGGGACAAGGGGCTGACAGGCCAGTGAGGTGAGAGGAGGGTCAGGGGAAGGGTGCACGGATCTGAGCACCTCAAGGGTCCTTAGAGGCTCATGCGGCATATGGCCTTGGAGGATGTCAGTGAGAAGGCACAGTGAGACCCCATCGGGCAGCCCTGGCCAGAGGATGGCCACACTTTGAAGCCGGTGGATCTGTGAGCCAGTGACATTCTCTTTGTGATCCTCAGAACTTGGGGCCACTGTAGGGTCTCGGGAAACTGGAAGAACAGAGACTTGAAGTCCCAGCGGCGGCCTGGTCAGGCACGACGGGCTAGATGTAGCAATGTGGGAGGGGCACAGGGCATGTGACACAGGGCATCCCTTCTACCTGGCAGAGAGAGGTGGCCAGACCAAGCTAGAGACTTGGGGTCTTTCTGGGCCCCTTTCCTTCCCTCCCTCTGTGGCCTTCAGCGGGGCTGCGTGTCAAACCTCGCAGGCAAACCCAGGGTCTGGCCACGGGCACCACCGGCATCCCAGCATTACCAGCCCAGATGACCGTGGTGCTGGGTTCTGAAACATGCGTTCCCTCCTCCCGGGATGGGAAAGCCTTCTGCCAAGTGCAGACCATGTCCCCCAGACATGTCCTGTATCCCCTCCACTTCCCCATGTCCTCCCTGCCGTGTCCCATGTCCCCTATGCTGTGTCTTATGTCCCTTTCTCCCACACACCGGGTCCCAAAGGTCTGGGACCTTGCAGGCCTATTGCCAGCACCCCGGGGCCCTGCAACCCCTTGGTTGGTTTGCCTCCCTTTCCTGAGGCTCTCTTGGAAGGGCCACTGAGGCTGGTAGCCTGTGCCAGGGCAGAGGCCTCCAGTTGGTAGCAGTTGCATTGATCGAGTGCTGACAGTATGCCCCGTGCCGGGCATCAGCTCTTTTATCCGTGGTATTGTTTGGGGAGCTGCTGGACAGTGGGGGCTGAGGAGCCTTCTTTCTCCTGCTTTCTTGGAAAGACCAGTGCCCACATTCCTGGCCCTCATTTGTGGGCAGGCGTTAGTCCCAGGAATGGGAAAGCAAGTTCCAGAGAGCTGGGGGCCTTGGGGAGAGAGCAGAATACTTGGCCTTGCCTTGGGGTGGGTGGGGTGAAGCATGGGTTGGGAGAGTCCTGGCAGGGGTTCTTGACCCTACAGGGCCCTGACCCTAGAGGTGATGGCATTATTCCCTCCTGTTAATGTTTGGGAGGTGAAATGATGTAGTAGGGCCGCCTAAGCCATTCATTCTTTAATGCATTCAACAAGTTTTCTAAGATGAGACGGCAGAGGGGACAGTGATGCTGGAAGGGAGGGGATGTGGGGGTGAATGAAGCAATGATCCTCGTATACTGTGGGGGTGCTGGTGGTCACGGCAGGGTTTTATGCAGGACCTGAGAAGGCCCAGATGTCCTTTTGTTTATTTTTATTTATTTATTTAAATTTTATGAGAAATTCACATAACCTAAAATCTACCATTTTAATTTAAAAAAATTTTTTTAACGTTTATTTATTTTTGAGACAGAGAGAGACAGAGCATGAACGGGGGAGGGGCAGAGAGAGAGGGAGACACAGAATCGGAAGCAGGCTCCAGGCTCTGAGCCATGAGCCCAGAGCCCGATGCGGGGCTCGAACTCATGGACCGCGAGATCGTGACCTGAGCTGAAGTCGGCCGCTTAACTGACTGAGCCACCCA